CCGGTGTTAGTGCATTTGGTCAGACCCTACTTTGAAAGAGTTGAAAGAGTTCGCGGTGCTTCACCTCCATCCCTGGGGCGAACGCCACCCGCCTCCATCCCCATAGGGCAGCTTAGACTGTGGGCTTCACAGCCCTGAGTGCCTGGGAAGCATTTTTACCTCAACCCAGACGTTCCACCCTTCTCCACTCAGCTTCCTCAGCGCAAAGACGAGGAGAAAACTGACTCCGGGCCTGGAACCAGGAGCCTAACGACTTTAGAGCCTGTGAGATGGGGTAGGGAAGGGGACGGGCATTCAACCAAAGCCACAGTAAGAATTTTGACCAAGTTAAGAAGTACTCAAGTGAACTAACTTACGCCACAGTGCATGTATTCATTCAGCAGTAAATAAGCGCTATTGAAGCATTGCCAGGTGCTAGCCTTGGAAGTTATCCTCTGGGACGTGTATATCACGCAGATAATTCATTTATCAGATAGTTCGGTTTGTTTTTGTTTTTTAGGTTCAGTCTTTTAAAAATACATAAATAAGTAGGTGCCAACTTCTACACTAAGAGCTAGGAGAAGGGGGTAAGATCAGGAAGTAGGCAGTAGGCTGTGTTCAAATGCAATTAATTTGGGAAATACTGAGAAACATTCCAGTTCACCAAACCTTTAGTCAAGAATGAATTGAAGTTTTTAATCTTCACTTTTCTGAATTTTATCTCACCTTCCCTTGTTTTTCTTTGTAGTTTTATCGTATGTGTATGTGTCACCAAACATACCTTATTTTGTTTGATTTTGAGCTTTATTTATGGAATCGTTTGTTTTCTCGATGTCTTTGCTTCTTTCAGCATTGCTTCTGGCATCCTCAGAAAAAATTCATGTAGTTTTTCATTTACTGTTGTATAGTATTCTATTGTTTAGCATGACATATTTATCCATTCTACTCCTCTAGAGATTTGGATTTTTTCCAGCTTTTGCTGTGACAGTGCAGCTTTGAACTTACTTGTACATCTCAGCTGATGAGTGTATGCAGAACTTTCTCTGTAGCAACTTTTTTTCCAATATTTTTGACCTGGACTGATAGTAAGAAATACATTGTACCTTAAACCAACTACATGTAACTGCTCACACATGTATAATTGAAAGAAAATTTCTTGAAATATTTGTTACTCTACAGGAGCTATGTGTTCTTATTTTTTTTAATTGTGGTAAAATGCAAATAACAAATTTTACCGTCTTAACCATTGTTATTTTTAAAAAGAGATAGACAAGAAGAAGAAAAGAAACAACAGGCCCAGGGTGGAGCCACTAACCTCCCTGCCCCCCCCCCTCAGGTCAGCAAACCAAGACTTAATTGTAGTTTCAGCCTCTCTCAGGAGTGGAATTTCTTGGTCAGCACTGGAGAGGTAACCTTACCTGTAACAATCCTTTCTTTTCTCTTGTTCATAACCTCCTTGTCCTGCCCCCATTTCTAGAACAGTTTTCCATTTTGTACCACTGAAGGGGTGCCTTTCTATTTACTAGATGGGATGCTGCTTGGTTTATGAATCATTGAAAAAAGTCAGTTAGATCTTCAAATTTACTTGGTTGAATTTTGGTTTTTTAACATCATTTTTTAAGGGTTTTCCTTTTTTTAATATATGTTATTTCAGGCCTACTGAAAACAATCGG